TCAGTTATCRCACAAACATTTATAAATTGTCTCCATTTCATCACCTTTGACAGAMACCCCATGTGCAGCCACCTATACCACATCACCCTCTCAGTCAGGGATTCCAGGATTTATCCATGGTGAGGGACAAGTCATCATGCTTCATCCCTCCCTCACCCTCACCTGACTGAGGCAGCAGCACGAAGGAGTCAACATTACTCTCCCTGACAGGTGGGTTCTGGCCACCCTCACATCCCCTGCCCCCTCCTCCTCTTCTTTCTCYTCCTTTGCTTCAGGCTCCTTCTCCTTCACCTCAACCTCCTCCTTCTCCTCTTCTTCCTCCTTTTCCTCCRGCRGAGACTTGCAATGCCCCCACACAGCCCTGGCTGTTTGTCCCCCACACAGGTGTTCACAGACTGCCCTGAGCCAAAACCTCAAGTCCCCTTGGGCCACCAGTATCCTCCAGCATCGGGGACCCCACGGGCCCCCAACACCTCTCACCACCCAGCGGGAAACAGGGCACAAGGATGGGATGAAACACAGGCAGACAGTGGGATGGAGCATCGCCTATCCCAAGACTGTGCGGATGGGACCCTGTCCCCGCCAGCCCCTGTGGAGCGGGAGGCCCCCACAAGTCAGCACTGGGGCCAGCACTGGAGAACTGGAGCCTGGAGTRGTCACAGAGGAGTAGAGGGAGCTGAGCAAACAGATGGATCTGGGGCTTAGCACATAGATGGGAAAACCCATGAGAGAAGTTCAATATGCTGAAAAGGRCAGGAGCGGGTGGGGACGAGCTGGGGCTTTCAGGAGCAAACATTCCCTCAGGGATGGCCAACCAGCTGCTCTCTGCAGACAGAGGCCACTTGGAAATGTAAACTGCTTTTTAAGATAAATTTCATCCTCAGATCCTCAACTTTCTCTGCTCCACCTCCACCACTTCCATCTGACACTGAGGTCTGTGAGTGCCTCAAACTGATGCTGCTGCCAAGAGGAGCTGTCACCTCCTCCACTACCTCCTTCTCTTCCTCCTCTTTCTCCTCCTCCTTCTCCCGCTGCTGCTCCCACCCCCAGAGCAACCTCCCCAGTACCTATGGTGCCCATGGCAGTGGGGTGGAACAGGATGGGCATAAGGTTCYTTCCCACCCAAACCATTCCATGACACCAGACAGTACCAGAACCCAGGTGGGGCAGCAGGAGGGTCCCCTCCACAGATTCCCARTGTCCACCCAGCATGCAGGGCTGGGGAGCAGCACCTGCTAAACAGAGCTGGGGGGAGGTCATGGTCCAGGACTTAGCTTCAGTGGGTGTCCAGGCAAAATGGGCATAGAGGGGACCCCCAGGGGGGTCTCCAGGGCTTTATGGCTTCTCAGTGCACTGGGACACTCTGAGGTGTTTGATCACTCTTGCAGTAAAAACTGGGGCTTCCTTTCTGTGGGGACACCTGTGTTGGGAGAGCGGAGGATACAGCTGGGGAACACTGCTGGGGACACTGCTCCTCTTTCCTGGACTGAGGGGAGCAGTAGACCCCATTCACCTCTGGCGGGCTCAGGCTGCCCATCTTGCATACCCACACAGCGGTGGCTTGTGTTCCCAAACCCATGGACACTTTGCTGCACGACAGCATTGGTTCAGGGAGAGGGAGATGTTTAATGTCACCCTCCAGTGACAGGGACTGTCCTCTCTGGGCTGGAGATCMGCCTGCAGCTTTTCCCCGAATAGCTGCAGCTCTTTAATCTCACTCTGGAGCATGGAGGTACTGGCTCCACTGTTAATCCCATCCAGATCCGCACCATGTGGCTGTCAAAAGGCAAATCCAAAATCCTTCACTCAGCAGCTGGAGCATCCTGCTGTGTTCCTGCCACGAGACTCTGGGCAGTGGAGCAGAGAGGAGCAGAGTGTCACACCCAGAAGSTTCTGGAAGAAGACAGCGTATCCCCTCGCTATGCCAAGGACACGAGATTGCCACTGGCCTGGCAAGGTGGCCACAGTTCACAGGACTGCAGTTGTCTGAGTCCCTTACTGTGATGCACTATGATGCCATCGGTCTTGTCAGACCACCCCGTGGATTTTGGTGACAGCTGGGACATGTTCTGCTCCCACAGGAGTCCACCTGCACATGGAGAGGGCCTCAGATCCTCTTCGGGACCCAGGCAGAGTAGGTCCTGTCAGCACTGCCTTCACGGGAACAAGGGACACCCCAGGGTGCACATCCATGTCTAAGGCAGTGTCCCAGTGTCTCCAGCGCCCTACAGGGGCAGAATMTTTTTGCAATCTCTCTCTGGTCACAGCCCCAGAGGAGCTGGACKTCCCAAATATGTGGGCTTTGGGAAAAGAAGCTGAAAATGGAGCAARGAGGATTAAAACCCCCTGGGCACTGTGGAGGTCCTGAACAGAGCTCAGGGTCAGCAATCCCAGCAGGGCCGGCAGGGCAGGAGCGGTCTCAGCCCAGTCATGGGGGGAGACCACAGGGAGAAACACTGAGGGAATGTGAAATGGTGAGTAAAGAGGAAACAGAAGGTGGGGACCATGAACCCTATCAGAAACTATGGGGCAGCCCTTCTCATGAAAACATTTTCCTTAATATCCAGCCTAAACCTCCCCTGGCACAACTTAAGCCATTTTCCTCTTGTCCTGTCTTTTGTTACCTGGGAGCAGAGCCCAACCGCCACCTGTCCTGTCAGGGAGTTGTGCAGAGCCACAAGGTCCCCCTGAGCCTTTTTTCTCCAGGCTGAGCCTCTTTCCCATCTCCCTCAGCCCCTCCAGACCCTTCCCCAGCTTCATTCCCTTCCCTGGACACACTTTAGCCCCTCAGTGTCTTTCTTCTCACGAGGGACCCAACACTGACCCCAGGGTTCAGGCCTCAGCAGTGCCAGCCCAAGGGACGGGCATTGCCCTGGTTCCTCCTGTCCTGGAGGGGCTGGAGCCCCTCTGGCACATGCCCCAGCCCAAGKAGGGGCAGAGCTGCAGACAGGGGCTGGGACACCTTCGGATGTCACTGCCTGGGGGCCCTTACCCTGCTGTCTCCAGGCATCAGTGCTGCTCGCAGAGCCCAGGCAGGGCAACAGGAGTGCTCCCTGGTTCCTCAGCAGCTGCTCAGCTTTGCTGGGGAACTGAAGGTGACTGGATATCACTGGGTAAGTACTTTCCTGGGAATATTAAACGGCTTCTTAATCAATGCAGGGAGGATGGAAAAGTCTTACTGTCTGGGAGTTGAAGCCAGACAAATCCACAGTGACAACCAGACACTGGATTTATCAGGGAGGGGATGAACCGCTGGATAAACCCTCAAATCTGAGCAGCCACAACCCSTCCAGCAGAGGATTCAGGCTCATTCCAACATTGGGAAGGGATAAATCCTGGCTCTCGCATGCACGGATAAGTCACGGTTTAAATCTGCTGCTGCTCTCACATCCATTGCTCTGACAGCCCTGGGATCTGCTTGTCACCTCGGCAGCTCCAGGCTGGAGATGGGTTTTGCCTTCCTTGGAGTGGGGAWCCCTTACCTGCAGCCTGTCCTTCCCACACAGAGACAACTCCCACACAGAATCCCAAAATGGAAATAATGAATTCCCTCCTGTGAGGCCCCTGACCTCAGATATCCTCAGCAGAAAGGGGCTGCCCTGGCATGCTGATGCCTCCTGGTTTTATCCTGGTTTCATCCTGACTTTTTCCCAGGCAAAAATAATAGGGAGGATAAAATCCTCCTGATCTTATCCCAGAGAATGTCAGCGCCACACCAGCAAGGGACCCGTAGAGGGGATGCCCGGGGGACAGGGGACATTGTTGCCCAGAATCTCCTTTCCACCTGTAGTTGCCCTTTATGGGAGCATTGGTTTGTTCCCATCTCCCCTGTCCCTGCTGCTGCACTTTTGTGTTTGGACCTCATCACTAAAAATTCGGTATGAGTTTTTCATATAAAACAAAGAACTTTTAACTTAAAATTAAGAATCTTTCACCTAAAATAAACAAATAATAGRAAATGAAGACTTGGAGGACTAGAAGAAACATGTACATCACAACTGTGCATGCCCTGATGACAAAGGTTAAAAGTCCACCACGATGAAGAGGATGGTCTCTCATTAGGAGACCCCCRCAACCACCGAATTGAGGATGACACATGCATACCTGCAAAACTGTGATRTCATGTATTTCTGTGCCCACGTATGGTGGTGGGCGTAGGGTGGGCGTATGGGGGGCAGTGACAATGGTAATGTTACACCATGCTTCCTGTATAAATATGTGCTAATTCTAAGCGAAGGCAGGTGGGTTAGGAGGAGAAATCCTCCTCACCTCCAGCGCTACACCAGCGCTGCAATAAACAAATACCTGCTCTATAGACACCAGTCTMTGGAGTTGTATTTCTAGGCCTTTTTCGAACATCACTAAAAGTAAGAATTATTCACCTGAAAGAAAAGATTTTGATCTRGGCCAGCAGGTGGCTTCAGGCACTCCTGGGGATTCACAACCCCAAAATCACTGAGGGTAGAAAACTCTCGGAGATCCCTGAGCCCCCCATCCCCAGCATGGCCACAGCCATCACTGCCCATGTCCCCAAGTGACACATCCACAGGAATTTGAACCTGGGAGTATCTAGAGTAGCTRGGAGTGACTAGAGCCATACTGGCGTGACTGGTAGCGACTGGAACGACACTGGGGACAAGTGGCATCACGTGGGATTAACTGGGTTCATACTGGGAATTACACCAGGAGCACTTGAAACTACACTGGCAGCAACAGGGATCAAACAGGGGTAATACTGAGACAATACTGGAACCGACTCCGAACACATTGCAAGTTACTCTAACAGTACTAGGAGTGTCTAGGAGGGACTGGGACCACCCAGGGAGTGACCGGAACTGTCTGGGATAGTACTGGGAGTGCCAGAGCCCGTCGCCGGGRGGAAAGGAAGGCCGGGGGGTCGCGGAACTACAACTCCCGGGTGCCCCGCGCGGCAACCACACCTCCTCGCTATGGCTCCTCCAGCCAGGACTACATGTCCCATCGCCCCCCGCGCGCGGCCGGAAGCGGCGCGATGGCGGCCGGAGTTCGGCCCGGTGCGGCCGCGGTCCCGGTCCCGGTTTCCCGCGGCCCCGCGGGCTGAGGCCGCCCCCGCCCGGTACTCCCTCCCGGTGCTTCCCGCGGTTCTGCCGCCGCCATGGCGCTCATCGAGGGTGTCGGTGACGAGGTGACTGTGCTGTTCGCGCTGCTGCTGGCGGCCGCCGTGCTGGGGCTCGCCTGGGCCTCCACGCGCGCCCCCGAGCCCGCGGCACCGCCGACTGAGGCGGCCCCGAGCACGGCCCCCGCCGAGCGTAAGGCCCCGGCCCCGGCCCCGGCCGAGGGAGCAGCGGCCTCCGATGAGGCGGCGGGGCTGCGGCACCGGGACCCTCCCGCGGCCGCCCCCGAGGGCCCCGCCGAGCCCACGCTGGTGCTGCGGCTCAAGTTCCTGAACGACACRGAACGCCTGGCGCGGGTGCGCCCCGGAGACACCGTTGGTGCGCTCAAGAGGTGAGGGAGTGCGGCAGGGGCGACTTGTCCCGGCTCGGATGTCCCCGGACTCCGCCGGGCGTTGTCCTCCCTCCCCCCTCGCCGCAGCATCTTGGAGGGGTCAGCGGTGTCTCGGGGCAGGTGGCCTGTGCCCGGATACCTGTGCCTGTCCCTGGTGGGGCCCTGGAATAGCCCATGCTGGCAACAACACCTGGGTTGGCTGGTGGGCACCCATGTGCTCGGGTGTGTGAGCAGGGCAGGAGGGTCGTGGTGGGCACCCTTGGCAAAGGGTGAACAGAGGGGCCTGTCCTGGCATGTGACAGCTGGGGCAGGCACTAATGTGTGGRGTTAGGTGTGCAGGGCAGGGTGGGCACATTCATAAGATGTGGATGAAGGAACTGACCTGGCAAGTGACACTTGGGGTGGCTGATGGGGACACATGGGCTCAAGGGTGCAGGTCGGGTGAGAGATCAGGGTGGACACAGTCACAGGAGGTGGGTCAGATAGGCCTGTCCTGTCATTAGTGTGACCCCTCTTCCTGTCTCCTCCAGGACCTACTTCCCCGGGCAGGAGCAGCAGGTGCGGTTGATCTACCAGGGGCAGCTGCTGCGTGACGATGCCCAGAGCCTGGCAGGGCTGCACCTGGGCCACCTGAGCGTCCTGCATTGCCACCTGTCCCCACCCAGTGCGGCCCCCACAGCYCCCAGCACCCCCGGCCCCCGCAGCCCTGCACCTGCTGCGCTGGGTGTGGGCAGCCTGGCGCTGCCGCTCTTCGTGCTGCTGCTGGCCCTTCTCTGGTACCTGCAGCTACAACACCGCCACGTCTTCACCGCCACCGCCACCACCTGCCTGGCCGGCCTGACCCTGCTCGTCACCTTTGTGGCCTTCGCCATGTACCGCAGATAGCGCCGCCTGGACCAGCACCTGGGACACGGGGGACCTAGAGCCACACCTCGGACATTTAGAGCCTGACTAGCCCACGTGGGACATGGGGGGCTCTGCCTACAGCCCACCCAATACATCCAGGGCACGTGGTGCCTGTCCAGTGCACCTAAACTGGGGGAAGGCTGGGCCCTGGACTGTGCCTTCCAGGGTCCTGGGAGTCCCAGGCAGGTCCCCACCCATGCCCTTTCTGCACACAGGGGCTGTTGCAGGAGTGGGGACTCAGCTACCTCTGGAGGAGTCCCAGTGCCCCCTGTCCTTGCACGGAGAATTCCCCCAGCCACGCGGCATGGAGAAGCTCCGCGAATGCACTCCTGCCCGGAGTACTGTCCGTGCCCGGGGAGCTTCTCCGCGTGGAAATACCGCCTGGCCCCTCCTGGGGGCTGCTCCCTGGATTCCCGGCGCTTGGGGAGTGACATGAGCCCTAGGGTGCTGAGGGTCCTGGTGCCGGCGGGATGCGTTTCTGGGGTCCCTGTACCGAGGGAGGATTTATGCCCCCAGSGGGGTCCCAGTGCCGGGGTGGATGCACTCCCCACTGTCCCGGAGGTCMCGATGCTGTGTTGGGAGGGAGGGTCGCGCCTGCCACCGCCGTTCCAATTAAAGTGGAAGGACTGTGACCGGCCGTGGCGTCCCGGCTTGTGCTGCGCCGTGGATCGGGGGAGGTGGAGGGAGCGGGTGACCGGGGCAAACCGGGACCGGGGGGCGGGGCTCCGGGAGGGGGCGGGGCTCCGGGAGGGGGCGGGGCCTGGCGCTCCCGGCCACGCGCTCCGCAGGGCCGTAGTGCGCCTGCGCTCGCGGCACCGCCCCGCTCTTAGTGGGGCTCTCGCTCATTGGCGGAGGCGCGGTGGTGATTTGCATGCAGCGCGCGCCGGCACCGCCCCGGAAGTGCCGCGTGTGGGGCGGGGCCGTAGGAAGATGGCGGCGGGGCCGCGCTCCCGGGCCGTGTCCGTGTCCCGGCAGCGCTGAGTGGTGGCGGTGGCGGCGGGACYGAGCGACCGCCAGCGCCATGTACGGCCAGGCCGGGCCGGACCGGGCTGGGTGGGGGGGCGAGAATCCTGTCGGGGGGTGGGTCTGGGCGGGCCCGGTACCGGCTGGAGGTCGGTGTATGCCCGGGAGAGGGGCGGGCGCTGTGGGGCGGGGGACACCGGGCAGGCCGGAGCTCCCAGCACCACGGGGCTGGGCGAGACATGGGCCCGGACAGGGCGGCGGGCCCGGTGCCGGCGTCTTGTGCAGGCGGGGCTACCCGGGGGCGAGGACCCCTGTGGATGAGGGGAGTCTCTGCCTGGTCGGGGAGTGACCGCGGCCGTCCGTGTCCCGCGCCAGCCCTGGCCGTCCCGCAGTTCTCCCCGTCACATCCCCACCGGTCTGTCCTGCAGGGTCCTCCGGAGCCGCGGAGCCCCCCGCGCCACGCCGCCCCCGCCATGCTGTGCCCGCTGCTGTGCCCATGGCTCCGCGCTCTGACCCGGGCGGGCCCGCGGGGCCCGGCTGCCCGTGAGCGCCGCGGTGCCGCGATGTTCCCCGCCTGCTGCTGCGCCGGCAAGGCCAGGCCGCGGCTGCTGCTGCCCCTGGACCCCTACGGCCATGGGCTGTTGCCCACCGTGCCTCCGGACGGCGGCCGGGGCCGGGCCCATGGCAAGAGGAAGAGCTGGAACTTCATCCACGAGAAGATGAGCTACGACACCTTCTTCACCATGAAGCGGCTGATCGAACGTTCACGCAGCGTGGGCGAGGTGCTGCGCTGGGTCACGCAGAACCCGGGCAAAGTGTCAGCCAGTCACTACCCCATCGCGCTTCACAAGTTGGGGCAGCTCCTGCAGCAGCAGCCAGGGCCACCTATGGGGGCCGGGGATGGCCGCGGTCCCGCAGGGCAGGTGCTGGAGCAGCCCGAGTTCCACGCGCTCTGCCAGGCCATCGTCAGTGGCTGCGCCAAGTTCGACAACTTCAGCATCGTCAACTGCCTGTACGCAGCGGCTGCGCTGGGTGAGCAAACCCCATGGGATCTCAGGGTGGGAAGCGCAGGGGGCTCCARCAGAGGTCCAGGGCTAGAGTTTGTGGGGAGTTATGTGGTGGATTTGTTGCAGATGGAGCTGTGACCCTTGGGGACTCTGGTCAGGGGGCAGGAGGGCTTGGGGGGCTCAGCTCAGCAGAGATGCTCTGCTCCTCCAGGGCAGGAGGGCTTAGTGTCTCTGGCTGACCAGGAGCTTGTTGCTGGAGCCAAGGGAAGCCATGGTGCTGGGCATCTCTGCCTCGTGGATCAGCCACTCCTAGAGCTGAAGTTTTACGACCTGAAAACCAGGAAACACCTGAGTACCGATGAGGGAGACCATGGGTTTGGCTGAGCTYTTGGCAGGCACAAGCCCCATGTCACCAGATATTGCTGTACAGGAGAGAGGGTTGGAGATGTTAGAGTTCCTGCACAGCTTCCCTGGGGTGCTACTGAGCTGGGGAGGCTGCGTCCCAGAGGCTCCCCCTTCTGTGGGCCAGGATGACCCTGCAAGTTTTCCTGCTTCAAGGAGGGCAATGGGGTCAGCATCCAAAGAGAAGTGAGCAGCAGGACAGTAGGGGGAATCTTCTCCTCTGTCTCACTCAGGTGAGGCCCTACCTGCAGTGCTGCTTCCAGCTCTGAAGCCCAACAGAATGGCGTGGAGTGAGTCCAGAGGAGGCTATGGGGATGCTCTGAGGGCTGGAGCTCCTCTGTTCAGAAGACAGCTGGAGAGGGACTTGAGGGACTGGAGTGGGGGCAAGGAGGCGTGGTGGTTTCCCACTGCCACAGGGCAGGGCTAGATGGGATATTGGAAGGAATTCTTCCCTGAGAGGGTGGGGAGACCCTGGCACAAGTTGTTCAGAGAAGCTGTGGCTGCCCCATTCCTGGAAGTGTCCAAGGCCAGGTTGGACGGGGCTTGGAGTGACCTGGTCTGGTGGAAGGTGACCCTGGTCATGGCAGGGGGTTGGAGCTGGAAATCTTTAAGGTCCCTTTCAACCCAAAGGATTCCAGGATTCCATGATCTGGTGGGTGCCTGCCCTCTTGTCTGTGGTTCCCCACATCCTGTTCTCATTCCCATTCCCCACTGCCTCCCCGGGCCCGGGCTCGGTGGAGCCGCCCAGCCGCGGTTGACGCAGTAACTCGAGCCCCTGCCGGGGGTGGGGGGGGCTGGTTGTGTCCGTCCCCCCCAGGCCGGTGGCGCCGGGTGTTTGTTGACACTGAGCTGGAGCTGCCGGCACTGCTTGCCCTCGCCAGGTTCCCCATGCTGGGCCCCCCACAGCTGTGCCGTGCCCCCCACTTTGTTCTGCCCCCTCTCCCCTCATTAGCAAAAACTCCAGCATTCTTTTGAGGCCCTTTTATGGAACGAAGTGGCTGCTCAGACCAATTCTGCACGTTCACTCTCCTGAGTTCTGATTAAAAATAACCCACACTGACTCGCCCTGCACTACCCGGCAGCCTGTACCTGCCCAAATCCTGGGGGTGATGAGGCCTCCAGGCCCCCCAATGGTCTTTGCTTCTGCTGAGGTGATCCTTCCTGACGGCCAAGGCACTGAGCCTGTGCCCAGGCCTGGATAACACGTCCTGAGCTGCAGGGAAGTGTTTCCGTGAGAGCCAGGTCGCATAGGCTAAAGCTGAGCTGGGAAATGAGAGAAGGTCAAAAAAGCCAAAGGATTAGTCCCTGCTGGGACAAACAGGGTTTAGTTTGGTCACATGGGATGTCTCAGTTGTTTTCCAACCACAATTTTTTTGTATGAACTTTTTAAGGTGAGTTTTTTGGGTTCCCAGAGCCCCTGGAAGTGTTCCAGATTGGACAGGGCTTGGAGCAACCTGGTCTAGTGAAAATGTCCCTGCCCATGGCAGAGGGGTAGAACTGGATGGGATTTGAGGTTCTTTCCAATCCAAAACAGCCTGGGATTTGGGATTCTGTAGATTATTTGTCTTTGAGATGTTTGAGACTTAGGAAACTAACCTTGCTCCCTTTCCGGTGGGATGGGTGGGAGTGACCCCACAGCKCCACACCATTTTGCATGGTGCAGATACGCTGATGTTCTGCTGCTGCTTCCCCTTCTCTTCCCCCTTCCCCTTCTTGGTTTGGTCACTGATGCAGCACATGCGCCCAGTCACTGCAGTGGTCTCCTGCTCAGGCTCTGGAGGTGGTTGTGCCATGGGGCTGAGTTGTGTTCATGAGGCTGAGTCATGCCCAGGATCTGAGACATACCTGTGCCCATTCTCCCCACAGGGCTACCCGGGGAGTCGCCGCTCGTGCGGGTATTGGAGGATGAGTCCCGCAGCCGCCTGGGCCGTTTCAACCAGAAGGATGTGTCGATGGTGTTCAGTAGCGTGATGCGGCTGCACCCCTCCAGCCCCCACCCACTGGTCGAGTCCTGCCTCAGCAGCCTGGAGCGGCACCTGGAGAAGGAGCGGCACCCCCAGACCCTCTTCCTGCTCCTCTCCTACTACCGGCTGCGGGCGCAGGCGCTGCAGGGCCACGCAGCCTCCGACCAGCAGCTCATCAACAACCGCAAGATCCTGCGGCTGGTGCGGCACACTCTGGGCCAGGTGAGCGCCATGCGGGAGCACGAGCTGGCGCTGCTGGACGAGATGCTGGCCCTGTGTGCCCAGGAAGCCAACAACAAGGCCCTGGAGGCCATCTTCAGCTCCCAGCTCTTCTATGAGAACCGACAGGAGCGCTTCATTCGCAGCATGGCAGGTGAGGGGTGCTCAGCTGGGGTCCCAGCATTGCCCCCCGCGTGGCAGGTGCAGTGCTCTGGGCAGGCAGAGGACATGGGGGCCTCTGGCCAGGTGGCAGGGGTGGCCTTGCAGACGCCTCCCCGGCCCTGTTTGGGTCATGACACCCCCTACGGGGGCCCTGCTGAGCTGCAGAAGGGCCCGGAGCAGAAAGAGCCCTGTGTCATGGCCACCCTTGTCACTGGCTGCCCAGCCCAGCTCTCTAACAGGCTGGGAGCCCCCCATTCCTTCAGGGACTGTATTCCCACGGTGCCTCCAGGCTGGGCACAGTGGAGTTTTGGTGGGATTTTACAGAAGAGCCCCACCTGTGCACGTTCCAGCTGTGCCTTCTGGCTGTGCATGACAGGAATTCGCCTGAGCTTCTCACCTGGCCCATACCTGAGGGTTTTTAGGAGCTGCCTGGCTTTTGAGATTTTTGGGACTGGTGCTACTGTCTGGTCCTGTCCTCCCACCTGCCTGGGCTGTGGTGGCTGCAGAGGACCTGCGGTGGGGACAGAGCTGGCCCCTGTGACGGCCTCCCTGCTATGTTGGCTCGGCAGAGTGGCTGCCCCGGAAGGCAGAGAACCTCACCCCCTACACCATGGCCCTCATCGCCAAGTACGTGGCGCGGCACCGGCTGCGTGAGCCGCAGCTG